CCTTCCGCCTTCGCCCTGCCTTTCCCTCCGCCTTCCACTTTTCCCCGCCTTCCCCCTTCTGCTTTCCCCCGCCTGCCGCCATTCCCCCCTGGTCGATTGATTGATTGACTGATTGATCATTCGGATCAATCGGATCTATTTGATTGATTGACCAATCAGATCGATTGATTGATTAGCTCCGTTGACTGACTGATTGATAAATTGATTGGATTGGTTGGTTTTTTACATCTGTGAAACTCGAAATAAAAATTTATTTCCTCGATTTCTGAATATTTTGTGGATTTATTTTGTTATTTCCTTGATGTTTCTCGAAATATCTGTTGAAAATAAGAATGCTCCGGCTTTGTTTTCTTGAACAGAAATGTTTCATGCTTTATTTTCTTTGCTTGCTTGTTTGATTGATTGATTTTTCCCCCGGCTTTATTTTCTTCAAAACAACAATATTTGGCGGTTTTCATTATACATTCCAATAAAAATAGGTATGATTGATTGATTGACTAGCTACGACTGTCTCTAGGACTTCATTTATCTTTTCTTATTGGACTTGCACGACTTTATACATTTTTACAGGACTCCGCCTTTCGCCTTCTCCGCCGTCTTCTTCCCCCTTCTGCAACTGTTTTTCTTTATAGGGCTATATACAGTCCTTTACAGGGACCCAATGTATGTTTTGTTTACTGTGTGTTTCTGTTTCTGTTTTTGTTGTTGACTTTTGAGTAGTGCATTTTTTCCAACATGACGAAGAAAGTTACATCATCAAAGCTTGCGACTGCAGCTCCAAGCAGGTCTCGAAGTAGTGCTGGCGGTCCCAGAAAGGGCGCATCCAACCCAAAGGACACGTGGGACAAAGAAGAAGAAATGGATGTGGAGGAGGAGGAGCTTGTTAAAGAGGAGGAAGAAGAAGAAGAAGAAGCACAAGAAGAAGCAGAAGAAGAAGAAGAGGAAGAACAAGGAGAAGAACAAGGAGAAGAAGAAGAAGAAGAAGAAGAAGAAGAAGAGGGCGAAGAGGAAGAGGGACAAGAGGACGACGAGGACAAAATGGATGAAGAGAATGTGGAAGTAGCTCCGAAGAGAGGACCAACAAAGCGAAAAAAAGGTTGGTGCAAAGACTTCATTTTCAGCAGGAGATTGCACGAAGAGTTTCTTCCCTTCTTCTGGGCCGTTTGCATCGCAGGTGGTTGTGCACAGTTGTTCGTGCAGTCCAAGAAGCCCACGTACAACCTCATCGGTGAAATCATAATCGCGTCCTAGCTGTTGGAGGATGAGCGGATGCTTGCAGAGATGTGGGTGGTTGTGGGGGAGAAGATACTCCGATATATCTTGAGCTCATCGAAAATGGTACCTGGAAAGTTCCCTATTGAGAACAAGAGGTTGGCTCAAGAAAATGGAAAGGGTTTTAAGGTGAGTTTCAAACTAGACCCGCCAGATTTCTCTCTTCCTCTGTTTTTCTTCATTTCTCTCATTTGCCTATCACCAGTCTGTTGTTCAGCAAAACAGTCAATTGATGTTATGAGAGCAGCGGTATTGCAGCTGCTTCTGTCGTGGCTGTTGCAGCTGTTGTCGATCGTTATTGCTGCAGTCCTTGCTGCTGCTGTTGTTTTCTGTGTTGTTGTTGCAGCTGTTGCTTTTACACTTGTTGTTGTTTCTTTGGGTTTTTTTGCTATCATTGTGATCACAGCAGAGGTTCCCCTAGCTAACGCTGTCACTTGACGTTGACTACCGCTGTACCCAGTTATAGCCCTATATGCCGCAACATCAACATCATGACTCCAAGTTGCTGCAGCGAAATTTAGGACTCTAAGTGAATGCCGCGACATTTGGGACCGTAAGCGACTACCGTAGCAACGAAGCGTCAACAAACAGCGCTGGCTGCTGCAACCATTCCCCCAACCACAACATGCATGATTGCTGGTCTGCATGCTGATGGTGGACCTTATGTCCGCCCAACCCCACCCTCCTTCAT